CATGTAGAGCGTTGTGTCATCAACCTAGGTGGCTGACTTCTGATCAGAATGTCACGAGTTTGAGTCCCACTCCATGTATAGAGGTTCGTACAGCCGGGTACCATCATTAACCTGCACACAATAGGTGTATTTCATCTCCAGCTAGATAGAAGGGGATAGTCGTTGTTGAGTAACTATAACGATTAGCTTCCATACTGTTAACAGCAGTGCTGAGTCATCTTTAGTGCATCGTCAATCTTTGTTTCCATTCGTCCGTACTGAATATTCTTACAGTCTATATTATTATGTTACTTCTCATTTCACACATGAGCAGTTATTGACGAAATTATTTAAAAAAAAATGTTATACGCCTGTGTTTCTGTGACTTGTTGACCTTTATTTAAACGTTTACACTAATTCAGAATATTTTTTTTTCAAGTGATCTTTATATTTGACCTTTATAGTTTAGTTAACTGGATAGTCAACATAAGAATTTTACTACACTACATTATTTCTTTTTTTTACACTTTTTGCTTGACCTTTTAATCGAATATTTTGTACTAGGCTTTAATTGATAAAACATTTTGTGTATGAAAGTCTACGGTGCTACTCAGTTTCTCAGGTTGAAGAAGTAGGTGAAAACTGGAGGAACTCAAACATGACATCCGTTGGCTTAAAGTTGTTTACTTACACCAACTAGACATATTATATTCACTTCAGTTGACTGAATTTGTTTCTTACTAGGCATCTTAGATGAAACGCAGCTCGAATCCTCACCCTTTTAAGGTTTCCTTGAATAGTTTGCGATGTGTCTTTCTTGTGTAGAAATAATAGTTCTTTTTTTTCATAATCACATTTGTTGATTAATAGTTCATAATGAGATGATTCCTAAACTAGGTTGATGAAACAGCTGTCCAGTACTCTAGTGCTGGTTTTCAATGGTTCTCCGACTGATATCAATGCGTGATCAACTCGTAAAAATCATATTGAGACATCAAGAAACACAGATTTCAGCGAAGAAAATGTTCTTTTTTATGATTTCATTGTTGATGTTTGTTCTTCTTTTAAGCATACATTGCTATGTTGAAGTGCTTTCTTTATCTGCCTAAGCAAGACTTCTTGAGTCATTCCTTTGCGTTTCACGGGGGTTATAGGGCTCCACGCCTTAAATTTGAATTTTCAGTAGCCGTGGTGGTTTTTGCAGAATGCGATTGCTAACCTCATGCCCAACCTTCCCTCTTAACTGGACTTGTTATAGGGTAGGCAAAGTTAAGGGGAGTACTCAAGTATTGATTTGTAGGGTTTTGATTGATTGGTTACAGGATTTTATCATGAGCTGACATCAGTTAGAGAACCATTGGAAAACCTGGGAGTACTGGACATCTGTTTCGTCCTAGTGTGGGACTCTTCACAGTATGCACCCACCGAGGTTCGAACCCAGGACCTTTTGGTTACAAGGCGAGCTCGTAGACCATTTAGCCACTGGGGCCCGATCCAATGGCCCATGAATTCTAACTTCTGCCAATTCACGACATAGCACAACCGCTAACCAATGTCTTCGGCGAGTATTTGTCCTCACACCCGACCTGCTGCACCCTACTTATCACGATTTCCCACTAAACCCCCAGGTAACTACCTACCTGAATAGGGTCAGTGGCGAGTGAGCATCTCATTGATATTCAAGTATTGGTTTTTAGGGATTTGATTGATTGTTTAGAGGATTTCATCATGAGCTGACATTGGCTAGAGAGCCATTGGAAAACCTGGAAATACTGGAGTACGTTAGTTGAAAATCTAACGTGGACAGTGTTTGTGGTTGGCGAATATTCTACGTCTGAACCACTGACGTGCCTAAGCAAATAACTAGATTTATGTGCTCCTATTTCTTTGAGTGCTGTCAACTTATCTTTTGTTACACATTCACTTTCCTTAATCCTTGTCTTTTCGATAATATAAATGTATGTACATTGTGCTCATATAAGATTGCTACATCCTTTTAGAACTGTTCCAATGATCGGTATAGCTACCTCTAGAGCTTTAGTTCTTTGTTGCTAATCCTGTAGTTTATTCTTTTGCTTAATATACTTTCTACAGCTATTGTTAACCTTCTGTCTAAGGTGTTACTAATCAAATGTGTTTCAAGTTTGTTCACGAATTGACATCAGTTAGAAAACGATTGAGAATCAAGGAGTACTGGACGGCTGTCTCGTCCTAGTTTGGGATTCATCGGCAGTACCCACCCACTGCGTTTCAAACCAAGGACCATCTGGTTACAAGGCAAGCCTGTTGACGACCATTCAGTCACTGGAACGAAATTCAGTGGCTAGTCCATGAATTCTAACTTCCACCCAATTCGTTATTTTAGCGCGACTGGCACCAGAGGCCAATGTCATCGGCGGGAACTCCATCCTCACTCGCGACTGGATGAACCCCACTGGTCAGGACTACTCACTAGAACTCACTCACTCCAGGCAACTTCGTCCTACAGCTAACCAGTCACTAGCGAGTATCAGATTAAAATTTTCAAGAATTAGTTTGTAGAGATTGTATTTGTTTCAGGCTAGACCACAGATTGGTATCAGTTAGAGAATCACTGGAAAACCAGCCACAGGGAGTACTGGACAATCAGCTGTTTTGTCAGCCTAGTTTAGGGACTCATCAACAGTACACACACACTGGGGTTCGAACCTGAAACCAATGCAATTCCTTCGAACTTATTCTTGAAAATTATTCACCTAAATAATTTGCTCGGTTTTCTTGACACGCTAATACACAGGTGGTCTTGCCGATGATGTTGCGACTGAAATCCTATCAACTAGCACGTCAACATATTCCTGTTGATTATATCAATAACATGATATAATGCATAGCTGTACCTACTGTAGGTGTGTCAGTGTTTCAATAGTAGGAATACTGGTCAACCATGAACATGTTACGAGGTTCGAGCCCCGGCCGATGTACTCCTAAACCTCACTTAGCCGGCAATTATGGTAGACAGAAGCAGAGGAAGTTGGCCGTTTGATTAGCACTCCCAGCCAAATAAGAAAGGATAACATCAGTGCTACTGAGAGTTCAAAGTTGAAGCTTGTAGGCTGCTGTGTTCTATTCACAACTCAAGTTAGTTAAAGAACCATTGATATCAATCCATGGTCTAGCCTGAAACAAATACAATCTCTACAAACTAATTCTTGAAAATTTTAATCTGATACTCGCTAGTGACTGGTTAGCTGTAGGACGAAGTTGCCTGGAGTGAGTGAGTTCTAGTGAGTAGTCCTGACCAGTGGGGTTCATCCAGTCGCGAGTGAGGATGGAGTTCCCGCCGATGACATTGGCCTCTGGTGCCAGTCGCGCTAAAATAACGAATTGGGTGGAAGTTAGAATTCATGGACTAGCCACTGAATTTCGTTCCAGTGACTGAATGGTCAACGAGCTCACCTCTTAACCCAACGGTCTTGGTTCCGATTACCGGTACAGGGTGATAGGTGTGTACTCATTTAGAGAGTCTCAGTACTCCCCGGTTTCCAGTTGTTCTCTAACTGAAATTGATCCGTGGTCTAATCTGAAATTAAGCAATTGCCTAAAAACTAACACTTCAAAATTCACTTTGTGATTTCAAATGTTCATTAGTTAAGGAAAGTTTTAATTTGCCTCTGCTCAGTTTCCTTCTAGATTGTATGTCTTATGTTGTGTGCAATTTATACTATGATTTCTCAATTATGTTTCTGGCTTGGTGCTGTCAAAATTTCTTCGCATTGATATTCTTCCCTATAGCGAATAACTTTTCGACGAATCTGTGTAGTTTCTCCCCTGTGCATATTCTTGAAACATGAGTAAGAAAAGTATTCACTCTCTCTCTCTCTTTGTGGATGTTGAATATGGTTAGCGATTAGTATCTATAGGTATATTATGTGCTATGAGAAATCCAAGTGCAGAGTACTGCTTTAAAATTGGCAGGAACCTGTTCATGCACTCACTTGCAGGTGAACTTCTTGAAGTTGTTGACAAGTTTGTGTTAGTGCTGGTCGAGCTGTGATGGATGAGGTCTGTAAGCATATAGTGAAAGCTAAGGTGGCATACGCCAATCTGGGCCAATTGTGGTACTGTCGCGACGTTAGCTTGGCTGTCGAAGGTTGGATTTACACTGCTTCAGTGCCTGCGAAACCTGGCCTTTCCGAACTGAGGATGTGCGGCGGCTCTGCGTGTTCGATCATCGCTGTCTCCGCAGGATTGATTGCGTTCAATGGCATCATTGAGTGAGTAATTCTCAGGTCTGAACGCAGTGGAGATCACCATTCGTTGAGTGTCGTCATCTGGAAACACCGGCTCCGGTGGCTTGGACATATGCTGAGAATGACATCCCAGAGGCTTCCGTACCGGTCTCTGTTCGCCAGCCCTGGGACGGCATGGAAAAAGAGGAGAGGTGATCAGCCGATGACCTGGAGTCGTGGGATGAAGGATATTTGTGCTAGGTTAGCATCGGTTGGTGCGTCACGACTTCCTGGTTGGAGTCCGAGAGACAGCTTGAATCGACGGCTCCAAACATTATCGGATATGGTCAAGAATCGTAATCAGTGGCGAAAGTGCTGTAATTTCTTCCCTTCCTAGGACACCTGACGAATACTGTTTGAACTTGTTTAGTATGAATGTTATCCTTCCTGATGAAGTTCTTTATCCGTTCTTCACCTGTACTTTTAATTTTAACTTATGCCGTTTTATAATTGTTCTTGGTGCCATATCGTACCAAGTTTTTCTGCGTTAAATAAAAAAAAGAAAAGGCCGAATAAAACTTTAACTTTCGATATTTTGAAGTTTCCTCAACAAATGGGCTGATTTTTTGAGATAAGGTCGTTACGGTCAACCTCTCACTTTTCAGGTTTAGGATTGGGTCGGCCGGAGGTTGAACCGCAGACCACTTTCGGCGCATGGTTGGCGAGCATTCCGCCATTATACCATCGACGCATGATTAAAAATCTATTACTGCTATATTTATGTCTGTATCTTATTCTACTTTTCTTTCCCAGGTATTTGTCGCTTTTATCTATCGTAGAATTATGTCTCCAAAGCCAACAGTTTTCATTCATGTTGTTAAAAGACTGAGGTAAGTTTTCCCCCTCCTTTCTTCATTCCTTCATATCCTATTATGCTTTTAGTTCTTACTGGAGTAATGTTAAACTGGGACCGCCGGATGCCATCCTAGGCATTACAGAAGCCTATAATCGTGACACAAATCCAAAAAAGATCAACTTAGGCGCTGGTGCTTATCGAGATGATAACGGCAAGCCATTTGTTCTTCCATCTGTTAAAGAGGCGGAGAGAATCCTCCTGGGAAAAGATTTAAACAAAGAGTATGCACCAATCAGTGGGATAGCTCAGTTCTGTGACTTGTCTATTAAACTTGCCTTGACTGAACAGTCACCAAGAATTAAAGAGAAATGTGTAAGTTGATCGATTTTTTTTGTCTTATTGTGTGTTCTGGATTTTCACAGGGATAATATTGTTAAGCCTCATTGAGTTTAACTTACGTAAGATAGTTGGTTGCTATCGAGATTAATCAGCAGTTGACATCAGTTAGAGAACTGCCAAAAACCAACAGGGACTACAGGACAGCCGTTTCGTCCCAGTGTGGGACTCTTTAGCAACATTTATCCATCACCCTTCGCATCGAGGATCGAGCCTAGGAGCTTCAGGTTGCGGGGCAGACAGGTTGACTGACCATTCAACCATCCGAACGAGAATCGACGACCTGCTAATTCTAACTTCTGTCAATTCACGACATAGCGCAACCTCTAGCCAATTTCTTCGGCGAGTAGTTGTCCTCCCATCCGACTTGCTGTACCCTACTGGTCAAGACTTCCTCCACTTGAACCCCAGGTAACTACCTACCTGAATAGAGCCAGCCGCTAGTGAGCATCAGATCAATCAACTCGGGTGAAACAGCTGTCCAGTACTCCCTGACTGGTTTTCCAAAGGTTCTCTAACCGATGTCAGCTCATGATGAAATCCTTTAATTAATCAATAATGATAATCAGAATTGTAATGTTTTTTCGTTTTTTTTTTGGTTCAGTTTTCAGTTAGCTCATATAATTACAATGTCAGTTTTGATTTTTCTTACAAATTCTTCATTTAGACTGCCACTGTACAGACAATATCTGGAACAGGTGCTCTAAGAATTGGTGGAGCTTTTGTGGTAAGTATTAATGCTCATTTCTCGTTTGTTTTAATACAGGGGAATTATTATTTAAATTATAGAATGCGTTTGCTGAACAAAAGCATATATGGATGCCAACGCCTACATGGGGTAATCATAAACCAATTTTCATGTATGTTTAGCCAAGTTTTTCTTTATCACTTATAATATAAATGATGAAATGATTTAGATTTGAAGAAATTTTGATGTATGCGCGCGTGCGTGCGTATTAGCATTTATTATGCAACACTGTGATTTCCTAATGATTAATTATAGCGCCATTATAGATAAGATTTTATTTTGATAAAATCACACAGTGTTGTTATACAGTAATATTAACTGATGACGACGTTTCGAGCATTATTTATCACTGCTCATAATCATATCAAGTCACTACTCACACAACTTTCTTGCTTCATTTATATACATAAGTGGAATTGATGATTAGACATTTGAATAAAATCAACATGGGATAATGTACATTCAGAAATAATAATATGAGTGTTATTGATCAATTACAATCAGATGGTAAATAAGACGAGTGTTTTTGTAGTCATAATGAGTAACTTGTTAGAATGTTGTGATGTACGTGAATTGAACTGAAATAGAATTTTAAGATTATTTATTATCCTCCTCTGATTTGACTGGTGGTAACAATCTATGTAGGCTAAAAGACCCAGTGGACCCAATTAAACTAAATAATATAATTTACAAAATACCTTCCAATGACTGTGTGATTGAGGTCAATTACACAGGTCAAACTAGTAGGTTACAGGTAGTCAGATTGTCTGTGAGAACATAAGAATTTAGCTGAGGTAAAAATGGTTGACCCCGAGAAGATAAGTAATTTAGAAGAAACACTCAGCACCACATTACAGTGCATGCATTAACACACAACCACACAATAGAGTGGGACAGAGTTAAAATTCTAAAAAGTAATCTATGTAGGTGGAGAGGCAGATTGACTACTGAATCCTTGTTCATTAAGTCTACACCCAACACATACAACAGAAATGACTCAATGCAAATACCAGAGATATTGAAGATATTATTACCACCAGTCAATCAAATCAGAGGAGGATAATAAATAATCTTAAAATTCTATTTCAATTCAATTCACGTACACCTCGCCTAGATTACTAGGTCACTAGTATTCTAGCCGGTCCCAAGCCCGGATAAAGAGGGAGGGTTGGGGCGTGGTGCTAGCAACTCCACCCCCAAAACTTAACCAAATTGCTACTAAAACTTCAACGCACAAATATATTCAAAATTCTAAAAATACAAACAATAACCTTATTTTTCGCTGGAATCGGGGAAGTGAAATGACGCGGGCTGGTGAAAGCCTTCGGGAAGCCAGTCAGCCGATGTGCCTTCTTTCGATGAGAGCAAAAATAAGGATGGGGACGTGGAATGTTCGTACAATGTACGAAGCTGGGAAGGCTGCTCAGGTAGCCGCAGAAATGAGGAGATATAAAATAGAAGTGTTGGGAATCTGCGAGAGCAGATGGAACGGATGTGGAAGGAGCCAACTATCAACTGGAGAGACAATAATCTACTCCGGTCACCCAGAGGACAATCACGAGCACACCGAGGGAGTAGCCATCATGATGTCACCAACAGCGGCTAAAGCTCTCATGCAGTGGGAACCAATCTCCTCCAGGATAATGACAGCCAGGTTCAACTCAAAAGGAAAAAAGGTTACAATCATTCAGTGCTACGCGCCTACAAACGCCTCAGAACATGAGAAGAAGGAGGATTTCTACAGTCAACTACAAACAGTAATGGACAACGTCCCAAAGAGCGATATCAAAATCCTGATGGGCGACATGAATGCGAAACTGGGAGGAGACAATACAGGAAGAGAACTCACCATGGGTCGTGAGGCCCTCGGTGAAATGAACGAAAATGGCGAACTCTTCTCAGACTTCTGCGCCTTCAATGATTTGGTGATTGGTGGCAGTGTGTTCAAACACAGGGATATACACAAGGCAACATGGATTTCACCAGATGGACACACCAAAAACCAGATAGACTTCATTTCAATCTCAAGGAAGTGGAGACGGAGCCTACTGGACACAAGATCGAGGAGAGGAGCAGATGTGGGTTCAGACCACTATCTAGTACAAGGGACATTCAAGGTGAAGCTGAAAGCCTCGAGGATACCTGGGGATAGGCCACAATGCAAGTTCAACACGCAAAAACTGAAAGACACAACCACAAAGGACACTTTCACTGCAACTGTCAGAGCAAAGCAGGAAACACTACGTGGCACCACCGAGGAATCATCCGTGGAAGACCATTGGAACTCTCTGAAGGTAATTTTCAACGAAACGTGCTCAACGGTTTTAGGAAGAAAGAAGAAACAAGACAAGGAATGGCTCTCAACAGACACTTGGAAACTAATAGAGGAGAGGAGAAAGGTGAAAGAAAAAATGATTCAATGCAAAGATGGACAAGAGAAAGAGACGCTGAACTCAACTTACACAGCACTGGACAAAGAAGTGAAGAAGAGTGCCAGGAAGGACAAAAGACAATTCTACGACAACCTGGCTACTGAAGCTGAGAAGGCAGCAGGCAAAAGGGACCTGAGGACACTATATCAGATAACCAAGTCTCTATCCGGGAAGAGATCAACACAAGTGAAACCTATAAAAGACAGCCAAGGGAACCCAATTACCAAGGAAGAAAGACAGATTAAACAATGGGCGGACCACTTCAAAGGACTCTTGAATCGACCACCACCTACAACCCGTCCAGTAATACCAACAACAGCACGTACACAACTGCAAGTTGACACCAATCCTCCAACGAAAGCTGAAGTCATGAATGCAATCAAGCTTCTGAAAGCTGGAAAAGCAGCTGGACCAGATGGAATACCCCCGGAAGCACTGAAAGCGGACCCAGAAACGACAGCAGATATGCTGACTCCATTATTGCAAAAGATCTGGAAAGAGGGAAAGGTGCCTACTGACTGGAGGAAAGGTTACCTAGTGAAACTACCAAAGAAGGGCGACCTGGGACTCTGCAAGAACTGGCGAGGAATCATGCTCCTGTCGACGCCAAGTAAAATCCTGAGTCGCATCATCCTGGAGAGAATAAAGGACGCACTGGATACAGAACTCCGACCAGAACAAGCTGGATTCAGGAAAGGCAAATCATGTTCTGACCAAATTGCAACTCTACGCATTATCATCGAACAAAGCATGGAATGGCAATCAAACCTCTACCTCAACTTCCTTCATAGACTTTGAGAAGGCCTTCGACAGCGTTGACCGCGAAGTAATTTGGAAACTACTCGAGTACTACGGCGTACCCCAAATATTCATCAACCTTATTCAACAACTGTACGACAACGGCACATGTCAAGTGATCCACAACGGAAAACTCAGCGAGGCGTTTGGAGTAAACACAGGAGTCAGACAAGGGTGCTTATTATCACCAATGATATTCCTAATTGTGGTGGACTGGATTATGCGTCAGACAGTGGGAAACGAGAAGACAGGGATATCCTGGACCGACGTGAAGAACCTAGAAGACCTGGATTTCGCGCGTGGATGATTTATGTTTGATGTCACACAAAATCGAAGACTTACAAGCGAAAACCGACAAACTGGTCGAAGAAGCAGCAAAGACAGGACTCCAGGTGAACATAGACAAGACGGAGGTTATGAAAATAACCAACAACAACAACAACAACAGCAACATCCAGCGCCAATCACCATCAACGGGAGGGATTTGAAAGAGGTTACTTCATTCACTTATCTAGGGAGCATTGTCTCAACCACAGGAGGAACGGACGAGGATGTCAAATCGAGAATCGGGAAGGCGAGAAACACATTCATCAATCTGAAACCAATCTGGAAATCTTCGTCACTCAGCATCAACAACAAAATTCGGATTTTCAATACAAACGTGAAGTCAATTTTGCTTTACGGATCAGAAACTTGGCGGGTCACCAAGAATATTTTCAACAGGTTGCAGACCTTTATCAACAACTGTCTTCGCTCCATACTGAAGATTAGATGGCCGGAAAGAATCACAAACAAGAAGCTATGGGAACAAACGAAACAGGAACCAATCGCCCAACAAATATGCAGGAGGAAGTGGAGATGGATTGGACACTCGCTGAGGAGGCCGTTGAGTGACATCGCGCGTCAGGCCCTCGAGTGGAACCCGAAAGGGAAGCGGCGAGTGGGACGTCCAAGGGTGACATGGAGGAGATCGTGTGAGGAGGAGATGAAACAGTATGGAATAACATGGACGCAAGTGAAAAGAACAGCAGAAGACAGAAGCAAGTGGAGACGTGCAGTTGAAGCCCTATGTTCCACTAGGAACCCAAGGGAACAATAATAATAATAATACATCATAACATTCTAACAAGTTAATTATTTTGACTATAAAAACACTCATCTTATTTCCCATCTGATTGTATTCGATCGATAACACTCATATTATTATTATTATTTCTGAATGTACTTTCTCATCTTATATTGATTTTTATTCAGAAGTTGTGAGAGTGAGCAGCTTGATATGATTATGAGTGGCAATAGTTTGTGCTCGAAAGGTGGTCATCAGTTAATATTAGTGTATAACAACGCTGTGTGATTTATCAAAATAAAATCTTATCGATAATGGAGTTATACTCTACCACCACAGTGCCCTCGTTTTATTCTTATATCACTAATTATAGCGACTAGATGCCATTTGAGGTGTATTTGGTAGTTCAGTGATAAAATGTTTGGTTCGCCAACCACACCGCTTGTCAGCTGGCGTATGATTCGATACTAAACGTCACCTAGTTTACTAATCAGTAGTAAGATCAGAGAGGATGGAAGGTTGGACGGTAGGCTAGCCAACCCCACACTGTAAAGTTGAAGATACCACCACTTCTCCTCAAAACTTCTCAGCTGATGTCCTTCAATGATATATGTATTGAACTTGGGCACTGTGGTAGAGTATAACTCCATTATAGATGAAATTTTATTTTGATACCATAATTAATATTTACTGATGACAACGTTTCGAGCACAACCTATTGCCACTGATAATCATTTCAAGTTACTCACACAACTTTTTCCCCTAATTTATATACATGAGTGAAATTGATGATTAGATATTTGAATAAAAATCAAT